CCAACTAAAACAGATTCAGGTAGTGAGAAACAAAAAGACAAACATTAAAACAACTTTCCTCCTGAATCTCCCAGACTTAACCTCACTCCTTCAGTCCTGGCTCCTCTACCCTCCCGCAGTGGTGCAGGGGTACGGGGGGGTATGGCCAGTCCGTAACAGGTCCTCTCAAGCCGCTCCTTTCTCTTCACACTTTTCCCTTGCTCTTGCATAGGCGCTCCACGGATCACAGTTCCCACCAGGAAATATCCATCTGCTACAGCGTGGAGTCCTCCAAGGGCTACAGTGGGGATTCCTGCTCTGCTGTGGACCACCTCCTCCTCCTCCTTTCTTTGAGCTTGCTCTTCCTTCTGTTGTGTTCACTCTTCCCCCCCGCCCCCCCATCTGCAGCTCCCCTGCTACCAATACCTTGCCATTTACACCCAGTATGGATGATAATGCTGGTCACAATAAAGAAGAAGGTACCAGAATACCCTCAGGAGCCTGTGCTCAGTTTGAAATGGTCTTTTTCTGTTAAGGCCAAGTGACAGCTGCTCAGAATCTGTCTCAGGAACCACTGTGAAAACATGGGAATAAAACCCACTACATTTTATTGTGCAATTCTCTCATAATCTTAACACAGATAAAATTCACATACATTCTCAGTTAAAAATTCCTACAAAAGCAAATGCCATACTAATAAAATTTTCATTTCTATGATCATTTTTTCACATAGTCTGGATTGAAAAGAAAACTGTCATGTGTTTCCTTCCGATTGAGAGCCACTGCTGAATTCTTCTCAACTTTTAATGTTACTGAAATCAAAGGATTTTTCTGTTTTCCCCTAAAAAAGCATTAGTTTAGGCAAACACTCTCAGCTGATCAGTAGCTGATCCAGAAGTGTAATGCGCCCTACAGATAGGATTGTCTCAGAACACAGGCGACTGAGGATCTGTTGGTCCCTAATCAAATATACTGCTTTTCTACACTGCTTAATCTCTAGGTGGTATCCAGAAATGTGATTTTTTTAAAAAGCCTTCCTGAAAACCACTAATACAGTTTTGTAAAATGAAGTTATGCCTTCTGTTACTCCACAGTATGTCCCTCCATCCCCATTGCTGCATTCAGATAGCGTATCTTCACTCTTAGCCTCTCCCACAAGCCCTTTAGGAAACACACACCATCTAACTTCATTCTTATGCTGGCACTACATAAACTGACCTTACCTTTCAGGTTACAGGCCCTTTTTTTCATATGATGCTCTGGCATCCTGAAATGTCTTGGCTTTTCATCAGTTAAACCACTTGGGTTTTTTTTCTTTGTATCTGTTGGATGGGTGATATTGTAATGAGTAAAACTGGCTCTTTGATTTCCAGACGAGGGGAATGACAGTTCAGTGGGATATGCCCTTTGTAGAGAAAAGTGGAAGTACTGCGTAGGCTATCACATCCGATCTTGTATTCAGCTATACCTGAATGCTTGATCAGTTTCTCACTGAAAGTTCACTGAGGTACTAAGTTATCTGAAAAACAAGAGAGGAAGAGGGTATTCTTCCAGAAGAAAAAAGTAGTTGTGGTTCTAAAGAGAACTGCTTGTAGCGTGGACTCTACCACACTTGTCTTGAAATCATTCTTTTTGCAGACTGTTTCCTAACCCTAGAAATAATTGCCTCACATTACACAGCTTTAGGACCTTCATCCCCCATCATTTTACAGGTTACTTTTATTTGTGTGAGTTCTGTTTGCTGCAGTGGGACAGCTCCTGCTTTACACTGAGTTACAGGAGGACAACTTTCATATGCTTTTCCTTTCAAAGTTCAGCTTTGGGAAGTCAGGAGGATGTACTGAAGCTACTCAGTTATTGCAGGATCCTTCCTCATAAAATCCACTTCCCCATATAATCATGTCATTACCAGAGACATCCTTGAAAGGCTGGCCTGTCACGTTAAACTAAGATCACTATTACCTACTGTTATGGCTGGTGTTTTGAGTGGGATCAGAAATTTGGGCACTGGAATGGACAGCCCCAAATGTCTCAGCATTCCAAATGAAATCATCATTTAAATAGAGAAACAAAATGGGAAAAGCACTTTGTGGGATCTTTCATAATATATTTCTAATATTTCCAATAAGTGTTCTCAGGATCCAGCCTGCACTGAGAAATGGCATAAACCTCTCAAACCAGGGACTCTATTCTTAAAACAAAAAGCAAGATATAATGTGTTAGAAACTACCTTGGTGTCCAGACATAATGCAGTGAGGTGTATTTCTCCAACTCAGATTTGCATGTGATATAAAAGAGGTCAGTTTGACAGTGTGTATCCTGCAGTCAGCAGCTTCCCAAAGTGTTCATTCAAAGAAAGATGCATCTTCTCCTTTTTAATCAGACTTATGAACAGATAGGGATGTTTTTACATGCACTTGAAAGTCTCCTACCCTGTGAGTTGGCCCATTCACTGTGATTTTTCCTGGAACATGGTACTACCCAGGGTACCTATGCATATCATAGCCTCTGCCATCATTTTTAATAAGTAGCTTATCTCTGTGATGCAACTAAAAGCAATCCTGAGTGTCTCCAGGGTTTGTTGTAATTAAATTTTATTGTTGTATTTGAAAATGTACAGGTTTTGAAAACTGGAGCAAGAAAAATGGAAAGGAGATTCTAGGAGGTGATAGTCTGATTTTTAGACGTTTTTAACCCTTTATAGTTTCCAGATCTAAAGCTTACTTATGCTTCCCAGGCATCTGTTCTTATACACAACTGAGGCCGTAAGCTGTAGCAGCTGGTGTGGTTTATTAGCTGATGTCAGGTAACCATGCAAAGATTATCAGTTACACCTGCAGACAGGTGCTGTAGGATTCCTAATAAGAAAGCCTTTTCTGAAAGTCTTACATTTGCTGCTGCCCTTTTCTTCTGCAAGTATTTACAGCTACAAGAGAATTACTCCAAGTCATAGTGCTGCCCGTGAAGTGCTGTGAGGAAAGGCAAGGTCTGCCAGCTTCTGATCTGGACAAGAAAGATATGTTGGTGTTTTGAACAGAAAACGGACAAGTTTATCTGGCATTACACTGCTGTTCTCAGGCATCACCACCCACGTCACTGAGGACTGCATGCAACTATATCTAGGCTCACACCTTGTGTAGTCAGTGGAACTGCTTCCACTCTGTATTCAGGGACTCGGCTTCACCTTGGTCATTGTATCTGTCTCCACTCTCTTCACAGCTCACCAGGACTGATAATCAAGCAGTTTCCTCCTTTTGTTTTATTCCTGCTTGATTTGCTTGCCATGGGATGCCACAGACTTGTTTTGGAGATTCATATAACAATTTTTTCCAAATCAAAATATTTCCTCCAACAATGTCATCTTTTCTCTCCAGCATTGCTACTAATCTTTATTTAGTTATTTACTTTGCAGTTTCTAGAGGGAATGGATGTGCCCAAGGCGCCCCTTTAGGCAACACTTTATATCAAGGTTCCATTTATAAATACTTCATGAAGGGCTAATGAATGATTAATAGATGTTTTAATGTATGACCAATCAATTGTTGTAGGTTTTGCAATGTCCAACAGACAAGTAGGTTTCTTATAAGCATAGATTATAACCATATCTGACATCTTCTACTGATGGGCTTCTAAACATCTATAGCATACACACTACTCATATCTGTAACATGCTTAAAACATCTACTAATCACTGATTAATTTTTTATAACCTATTTTGAAGCAGAGCCTGTCTGTGCAGTACATCCCTTATGGGTGTCTGTGACTCCATTTCTACAGGATTGATAATTTACTTGTCACCTAAGGATTTACTAATTCCAGCTCAAGCATTAGGCTTTTGTGAGTTAGCTTCAGCATTTACACCTCAGCCTAAGAAGAAATGTCTTTGCTCTCGCCAGTCTTTTTTCTGTCTCAGACTTCAGACAGACTGCTTTACCCTGCTAATGTACATTTTGCAAGCTCTGCTAAAATGCAGTGATTCTTAGGGAGCAAACCCACTCTAAAATTCATTTTCAGCCTGTTGAACTGTTTGATTGTTCTCAGGACAGCTGTCCCAGTGATGATGGTTCCCAGCATTTTAGTTTTGGTGGTTTTTTTTTACTGTCATCCCTGTGTGCTTGCTTCAATGTCTGTCCATTCTCAGAAAGTATGAGAAAATATAAACTTCACAGTAATCCAAAGAATAAACCATCTACCAGAGGATGTTTGATTTGAACAGAGGAACACACATTTTGTATGTCTGATGAACCTAAATGCTGATAGGAGCATTCCTCCGTGGGATTCCCATAGTCCCCAAAGGTGGTAGCCGTCACTGTGCTCTCTGCTCTATTTGGAGCCCTCAGGTAGAACGAACTGAAGTGGGCAGTACAACTCACTTCTTGAAAATGTGAGAGTCCTGCAATTAATCAGTGGCAGTTGAGAAGCAGTAAATTGCTTAGTATCATATTTTGCAAGTACGTTTTGAATTATTAATTGGTTTCTACTGAACTTAATCCCAGGGTTGAGTCCTCTGCTGTGATTTATCTAGATGTTGAGACCAATACTTTAATGATATTAATTAAAAGGATCTGCAGGCTTTTCTCATTTCTGGGGTCATTAGTAAAATAGTCTCTGTTCTGAGTATCCCCAGGTAAATATCCCATTCCCATTTAAATCAAATAGTAATCCTTCACTGATTGCTGTTTACAGCAGGATTAGGCTGCTACACCTGTGGCATTAGCATGTTGAGCCTGAAGAAACACAACAAGCATAACTCAAAAAAAAGGGGGGAAGGGAAGAATAAAGGGTGAAAAAGGAGAGTTTTATTCTTCAGTGTTAACATGGAATTTCCTCTGGCTTTCTTAAAACCATTCCTTGTCAAAGACACCAAAGCCTCAGAAATAAGAGCCTCTCAGAAACAGTCAAGCTCTCAGAGCAGGCAGGTTTTTACCCACATTAGCACAATCGCTTTTATGTCATCCAGTTAGCACTCTGTGTTTCTGGGTTTATCAGGTTTTTACCATGTTATTTTCTTTCTTTTTCAGCTGGTTAATAATCCACTAGCAAGTCAAGCAGCAGCGGCTGCAGCAGCAGCAGCCATGGGCTCAATAGCGAGCTCCCAGGCCTTTGGCAATGCCCTCTCCAGTCTTCAGGGGGTCACAGGTCAACTCGTCACTAATGCACAAGGACAGGTGAGTAGAAGATGGAGCAAACAGTGAATTCTGATGGTAGGCTGATCTTGGGACAAGAATGAGTTCCGCTTGTATGAGAGCAATTTAAAAGCACACATATTGAAGATAAATAAATATTGATTTGCCAGACAAGGTAAGAAATGGAAAGTCTGAGAACTGGGAGGAAGTTAGGAGCTGTTTGAAAGTGTTTTCAAGCCAGAAGGAGCTTAGGATTTGTTTTGTTTTAATTCAACCTTTGGAAAAGATCAAAATAGTGCAATAGGTTGGTATTTTAAAAGTCTAGCAACCCTGTGATTCTTTACAAACATAGCAGTTTCTTCCATTTACATATGCCTAATACCAGACAACTATATTAAACCGCTGATGTACTATTAAGAGTACACTTTTTTTTTTGCAAATTGTAGCATTTCTGTATTACTTAATTTCTAAAAAAAGTATTAAATGTTTCAAGTAAAGGAACACAAATTGTAATGAACTATCTGGGATGGATTTAGCTGGGTGGCTTGTTCATTCAATGATTAATTTAAGCAGTTTGCAATGAATCTGCCTGTCTGTAGTGCCAAACCTGGGAGAAACTCTTCTTTAAAGAAAATTTCCAAACAGAATCTTGTGCAATTTTTATGGTGTGTCTGAGAGAGAGATCTTGTGTTAGCTGCACTTGGGAGCTGCTTATTTGTTACTATCTCATTCTTAATATGATGGAGAAAGTTATGTATCTGAAGCCATATATATATATAAATAATTCCATTGATGCAGCATGCTTAAGTGGCCTTCAGATTGTAGCCACTGTCATTCTCTATTACATTTACTAGGACTAGAATTAACACAACTACTTGTTTCACATAAAGTCACTGCAACAAATCTGTCAACACAACTTATGACCGGACCTGGTAACTGGGTAATTTGAATGTCCTTATTCTAAATGCTAGAGATTGGATGTATGGTGATATCCAGTGATATGTGGATGTTAGGCCCTGGTAAGCGTGTATTGAAATGATGCAGCTTGGGTGATATGTGCGTCTGAAGTTTAGTTTCCATTCTTACTGTTTACTGTGGAGAAAAAACGTGAAGAGCAGGTTTTCCCCAGGTCATTTTCTACCTCCATGTGATTTAATTGGAACAGGGGTGACATTTTTTATTTTGGCCCATTAAGAAATAAAAGACAACACTTTATAGGAGCCCTCTTTTTTTTTTTTTTTTAACATAACACGTAAACAAAGATCCATCCTGAGCTTCACTATCACCATCCAAGTCCCAGGGAAAAAAATGCTGACCTTGTTATATTTACTGGGTGGGTGCAGAATTGTTCCATCACTACCCTGAGGGTTGAACGATGGAGCTTGTCAAAGTGAGGCCTTATCTAATGAATCATCTTATCGCAGGTGCACACCACACATATTAAAGGAGGATTGTATGAACAATGTGCCCTCTACAATAACCTTTCAATGTCTACTTTAACCCTTGTTTCAATCCCTTTTCATCAAAGGATCATTTTATGCAGCCAGCTTTAAATGGAGGCTCTCAAAAGCCTATTAAGATTTCTGGAGGGATGGGGTATTGGTTTGGAAGAAAAGTTGGTTATAATACCTATAACTCATAGTCAGATCAGCTCCAACCTAGAAGCCTGGTTGTTTCTATCTGTGCTCCAGAAATAGCTCACAATTGCCACTCAAGTGAAGGACTTGGCACCAAAGATGTTCATTGTAAGAGCTGAAGATACAAACCCAGACTAGTTTTTTGATAGTTTATCCTTTACATGTTCTCCACAGAAAATGCAAGTGAAGTGTGGCCATTCATTGTATGTTTCAAAAAAAAATCCTACTGTAAAGATACCACTGAATGAAACCGTAGATTCCCTCAGGCTAAGTCTCGTTTATTCCACACATAATGTAAAGTCCGATAATTCCACAGGTTGCAGAGGAAGAGAAAGGAAGAATCTTCCCTATTGTTGGATAAAATTACAGAATCTATCTGTTTGCCTAGGTCTTTTAAAGAAGAGCTGTCTTTTTATTACTTGTTTTTACAAATGTTCCTTTGTTTATAATCAGCACTGCAGACCTTGCCACAATACAGATAAATATCGGTAATAAGTGTGTAATATAACACCCATTTTTATAATATTCAGTAGAAACCCATGTTGCTTAGAGCACAGTTCTGAAGCTATCTGTCTACAAAACAGGACTTTTCAGAGTAACTAAACTGCATTCCAGAAATTAAATTGCATTGCCTGCAAATTGATAAAATTATAGCACCTAAACAAGAGCTGAAAGGTATGTTTCCTCAAAAGTGGGGGTGCGAGTGAATAGCAATTTGGGATACTCCTTTCTGAAAGATCTGCTTGGACTCGTTAAGGAGCCAGATTTCCATCATACGTTAAGAATCTGCCTTTTGTAAATTGCTTCTTTCAGGGAATTGTACGTGTGACGCCCAAAATTCACTCCTGCAAATGTAAGGCTGGATGACTTACCAGATTGTTTTTATGTGCATTCTCTGTAATTATACACTGCTTCTGCTGCAGAAATTCAGGGCTGGTAAATTCTGTCTGTCTAGCTAAATATGTGGTGATCAGTACTCCCTGGAGACATTAAGCTGTAGGACAAATCCAGGATCCTATGGCAAATTTAGGGAAATAATCTGTTAAAGGACATATGGCATGGCCGTAATTCCCAGTAGTGTGGGAGATCTTACAATCACAATAACAAAACTATATATATTAACAGTCATTTATATAGAGTGTTTGTTATTAATTTAATTTTGGAACTCACAATTACGGTATGATGATTTTAATTTGTTTTTGCTTTGGATGGCAATATGAACCGTAATACCAGAGCTCCCCAAAACTACTGCTGCAAAGAGATCTAATCCATTGGAATAATATGATTAGCTCACCTGATTAATTTGATACAGTACAGGTAGAGGACTCTAAATCAGATTTTCATTTTCAGAGGCATATTATGAACAGCTATTGGCCCATGTAACGCTGCTCACATTCTGTTTGCCCTCAGCACTTTCCAGGAAGCATTTGCAGGACTGGGCTTCATATCTTAAATTTAAAGGCCAGGATAGCAGAATTGCCAGATTCCACCCTGTCAGTAGATTTCACTGATTTCATAGAGAACCTGTTTACCTGTTTGACTTCAGCCTGCCCTTATGGGTAGCATCCTGGTGCTGTTGCTACTCTTGGATACTTCAGAGATGGAACAACCCAACATTTCTCTTTTTCACTCTGTTAGTGCAAATAAAAAAAAACCCAAACACATTAGGAGGTTTGAGTGGGGTTTATTATGTCTACTAAATACATGAAGTCTGTATTTTGGCTGTTTTCTTAATCTTTGTAAGGAGATGAGCCCCACACATATGGAAGCAAGGTTGATGCTTCTGGTTTCTGTAAGTGCTACCTGCAAGCCAGGTTTCTGCTTGTCTAAAACATGGCACTTAATTGTCATCAGTTGCATTTGTCCCTCAACTTCAGCCATGTCAAATACATTTTAACTATGGATGCTAAGTTTAGTTCCTTTTTTGGAAAAAATGGGAGTTGTCTGATGGGAGAAAAATGCATCCTAATTCAGTGATTGGAAAATACTAAGTAAAAAAAGTAGCATGATTAGAGTTGGCATTATAAACTGTCTTGTGATTAAAGAGGGCAGTACATTCTATTTCCTGGTTAGTTCATAGGAAAAACTGAGTAAGTATGGTGTAATTGTACATCACATACTTTAATTGAACACTGAATTTCATTGGGATGGCATCAGTATAATCTAAGAATGGAGGAACTTGGGCTTCATTATGCCCGTGACTTGCTCTTTAGATGTGAAAACCTTCTGTATATGAAAAACCTTGAATATAGCTCCACCCTGGCAATTAACAAAAATAACTAATTTTTGAGAGTTGTAGTCCACAAGTAGCTCAGGAGACTAAATAGACAGAGAGGCATTGTTGATCCAATTAGATAATAGGAGTACTTTGGTTCTCATTATTCTGATGAGAGGGTACACGTTTGCTCTTTGAGCTTCTTGATGGTAAATGGTGCTAATGAGGCCTGATGGATTCCCTGTTCCTAACAAGCCTCTCAGCAGTGCGAGTGATTACAATGGAGATAGATTTGATGGGATGCGCTCCCTTTTGTAGTGTCTCAGCTGCTGACACTCTGCGACATAATCAGGTCACAGAGCCGGTCACAGCCATCAGCAAAAGCCATAGCTCTATCCCTCATTATTAAAGTGCATTATTCAGTTCCAGGCCTTCACAATACTGCCAAGGGCCTTTTTTTTCTTCTTCTTTTTTTGTTAAGCATCAGTTCTCAAACACAAGAGTTAATAAAATCATCAGCTAAAGAACTAGTAAATTAAAGAAATGGAAATAAAGCACTCCCTTTCAGATTCGTTGAAGGATCACAATTAAATAAGCAGGCAATTTTTCGGCACCACACGCTGTACAATACAATGTAATATGTCATGTGCAATAAAAACAGGGAATATGATTTTAAAAAACACCATTGTCCTCATTGTGGACTGCCTTGGAAAGTGCTAAAGTATCTTCATTCCAAAAGAAATGTCTTTCTTCCCAACTATTACATGTATATATGTAGGTACTGTTATTGTCACTGTTTTCGGTAACTACTTTTTTCTTGGTGTATTAGTTTATAATTCCAAGCACAGCAGCTGTTCTCAGTTAAAGTGTTCAAGGCTACAATATGGAAAATATATGATAGGCCACAGTGCTAGGACTGCTCTGTTCCCATCGACAAGGCCATTGCCTTCTTTTGGGGGGTGAGCTAATTACAAACTGGTGTGGGAAAAGGTGATTGTACTGTTTTCTGTCTATTCTGATGACATTCAGTTGAGGCTATCTTCCCTGCAAAAGAAAATACTCTTTTAAAATCTAAGGTGGATTTTAATGCAGTTTAGTTAAGCAAGTGAGAAAAAACTGAGTGGAGAGCCCAGTTCTGTTATTTAGTTATTAACTTCTGCTTTCAGTTTCATTTCAGCTGTTTATGAGCA